CCTCCCCACTCGCGGTCCCGGCGGCCGTGGGTGGGGGGGGGGGAGGAGGAGGGAACCGCGGGCAGGGGCTGGAGGCCGAGCGATCTAGCCACAGCGCGGCGGACAAGGCAGGTGAGGGGGTGGAGGGATCTGCAGCGAGGCGGGCGTGGCGCGCAGGCGGCGAGGGAAGAGACGGAGGGCGGGCGAGGGACAGGGGACAGGGGAGAGGGGAGAGGGGAGGAGGAGAGGGAGAGGGTGGAGCAACGGTCGCCTGGCCCCCGGACCGGGGGCCGGGATCTCTTCTCATGGCGAGGAGGAGAACTACCAACCGACATGCGTTGCCCCCTCCCTCGCCCTCTCGTCGCCGGGGGCGGGTCGGGCGCCGGCACATCTCCGCCGCTCCCTCGTCCCCGGGCGCGCGCCGGCGCTCGCCGGGGTCGGTCCCTCCGTGGGAGTGAACCATGACAAGGCGGATCGGCAGCAGGTCGGCTGATCTGGCGGCGTGCATGATATCCCATCGCGTGATTCGGCCCTCGCGGCAGAACGCCCATGCTGGAGTGCATTGTCGGCAAGCACCCCAGGGCAAGTCCAGCATCCGGAAGGGGGTAGGGGGTAGTCGTGGGAGAGCGGGGGCGGGCAGACGCAAAGAAGTGTCCGAGCTCCATGGTCGCATTGAAAAGGGCAAAGAGCGCTCTGGGAACATGTTCGGGGCCTGGGGGCGGTAAGAAGAACGTCTCGGCCGGCGCGCCCCTACGCCCGTATGTGTGCGTGCGTGCGCCCCTCCCCCCCCCCCCCCCCCGCCTCCGGTCCCCACGGCACGCGGCGCGACGGGGGGTGGGACCCGGCTGCGGGCGGGCGGCCGGCGCCCGCGGCGCGCACAGTTGCCCGAATGGTACACATTCGGGGTGGCCAGGCTGTCGGCCACGGGCGCATGGCCCGGGGACGGCCGGCGGTAAGCATGCAGCAGGGAGGGCATAAGCGTGGGCGGGGTGTTCTGGGAGGGCAGGGCGGGAGCGGGGGCCCCTGTGGGTGCAATTTAGGCGCCCACTCGAAACGTCGTCTTGCAGGGAGCGCCTACGCAGCTGAGGCAGGCGGGCCGCCTGGTCCGCCCCCCCCCCCCCCCCAGGGGAGGCCCGGTGAAGGAGGCTTTTTGGCGGGGTTTTTATTCACAAGAAAATAGCCCTCCGGGCTGACGCATTGTCCTCCTCGTAGACACGGGACGGGACGGGGGGGGGGGCACATGGTCGCGGGGCAAAGTGGGTTCCGTGGCTGCCCCTGCTTTTCCCTGGCCCCCGCGGTGTGCGGCCCCGGGCGGGCTGGCTGGCGGGCCGTGTGTGTGTGTGTGTGTGTGTCTGTGGCCCTTACCGGATTGGGACACAGACACACAGACACCCGGCGCGGTGGACGTGGCACGGTGTTCATGCGTTGGCCGGGAAAATGGAAAAGAAGAAAAGGCCCCTCCGGCGTCTTCTCCCCTCGCGGCCGTGTCTCCTCATCCGCTCGGTGCCCCTCATCCTGCCCGCGCCCCGGGGGTGGGGGGGGCGGACAACCGGCGGCCGGGGAGATGGCAGGGGAATGTGTGTGGGCGTTTTCCGGCGGCATTTCCCCCGCGACTTCCGCCGGATGGTGTGCTCCCTGGGCCTTGGTCTGGCCCGATCCGAGAGGTGCGCCCGCCCCCCGCGCAGATCTGATGGTGTAGATTGGGCGGCACCGTTCCCCCGCCCCAGGGTCGGCATGCGCGTGTTTGCGCTTGTGTGCCTGCGTGTGCGTGTGTGTTTGGGGGTGCGTGCGTGCGTGTGGCATCCATCCCCCGGGGAGGGCCAGGAAAGGGGACGACAAACGGCCGCGGGGAGGCGGAGGCACACGCCGCGGCGGGCCTATGGAGACCGGCCGGCAGGGCTGCGGCCGCCGCGGCGGCAGCGGCTGACAACCAAGCAGGGGCCTCTTCCGCGGAGCGCGTGTTCGCGCGTTTGCGCGCCCGCGCGAGAGATGCCAATGGCCTGGGCGAGCGCGCCTGCGCCGGAGCCCACTGGCTGTTGGCCTCCGGGCCCCTGTCAGTGGCCGTTTCCCCCCCCCGCCCCCCGGGGGGCGGGGGCGGGGGC